TACACACAACATACAGGTAGCATAAATAATGCTAGTGAATTAATTCTAGTTTTATTCTAGGGTGGGAAGGGGTGCTGCCCAGTCATTGCTGCTTTTTATGAGTAGATAGATTGAACTTAGAAGATGGAGTAGCTGGAAGTGCTCAGTTCTTGAAGGGGAATGAAAAGCAGGAAAACARAGATGCCAGCTCTTTTCTAGGGCATAAGGATTAGGCCACTTTGTCTCATGTAAGCAGGATTTATTGGATTTTTTTCCTAACTTAGAGAATAAAACTCTGATAAGGAAAKGGTTTTGAAATACAACTTTTTCTGGGTTGCAGCATTTGTCAGAAATGTATTTTTTTTGAAGTAGTCTAGTTTCTGGAGACATTACCTACTAGAACTAAAAGCCATATTAGAAGATTTGTGACCAAATTGCAAGAACTGGCAGCACTGGGCAGTGGAGGGCCAAACAGTGGAAGAGTCTGGCAAAAAGACTGCTGGAAGAGGCAAGTGCAAATAATTCTTATGAYTGACAGAATTTAGCACATGCAGTGGAATTAAGAGAAGCCCAGTTCTTTAGAGGGGGCCTTATCTCAAAGTACCAGGAGAGGTTTCCCAAGAGGGAATTTACTACCCTTGATAAAGAGCATTAACCCCATATGTTTAGCTTAATATTATAATGACCACTCAGTGACACACTTTGCCTTAGAAAGGAGAGCATAATTATATGGAAATGGACTAGAACATATAAAAATTTTAACAGCAAATTTTGCTAGTAATTCTCCCTAGTCTTGCATGAAAGCGCATGCTCTACTATTGGTTTTGTGCTCGTTGCTTACATGGTTCATCACGTATCTGATTACCGAGATGCTAATGAAGGTTTCTTGTGTTCTTTGGATGGCTGAAGAATCTCTGTTAACAGGTGTTTGCTTTTCTGGAAGCAAAGGCATAGTTATCATCAAGTGTTTCTGCCTATGTTTTGAAGTGGCTATATCAGAATATGAAATATTCTGTGGTTATGCTGGGGAGTGTATTAAGTGATGGGAAATCTGAGGACCTTACATGCTCAATAAGCAGAGTATTGGAGAGTGAAACAATAAGACTGTGCTCAAGCTTTTGTGAGGACGACAGATTATTATTTATCACAGAGCTGATCTGAATGTATTTTTATGAGGACAGATCAGCCCACTGACCACACAGATGTTTTTCTGTTACATTTTCAAAATCGATGACATATCGTTTGGCTATGGAGGATAGGTCAGAGTTCTTGGGGAAACTGAAGTGGATTGGTTTAGCCAGCAGTAGTCGTATTGCTCTTTAACTCCTTATCCCTTGTGAGATCTCAGTGCTCTTCAAAGCCATCAAAATGTAGGTATACCTTTCTATCAGGTAGCAAGTAGGACAAACATTGTAGGGGACCCTGTAGAAGGGCAAGTGCACCATATAAAAATAGGTCATATCCCTAATTATTATTTTARTGGACATGCAGAACAGAGAAAACTTTCAGGCTTATTTGAAAGGACCTTTGTCCTTTGCCAGCTGACCTGGTCAGGACATCAGCGCTCAGTGGTGAGGACCTGAGCTGACCCTGTCTGTTCATGAAATTATGATGCTAGGGATTCATTAACTTTCCTGTCTAGATCACCACACTATCTTATTCAACTCTTTTGCTCAGCAGTGCCATGTGTTCTGCAAATAATGTGAAATAACATTGCTAACATGGTTTAAGCATTGTGTTCCCAATTCCTTTAATTGGTGAGAAATGTCCCCCGGCTTTCAGTCATTGTTTAGCGTATAAGTCTGAAGCCAAGAGGAATTAAAAAAAAATGACATACAATTCTCAAATAGAAAACAGGAATGTAAAGGCATGCTCCCCCAGTAGGAATCTGGCTCACTGAAATCATCTTCATTCTAGCATTCCTTTTTAAGGGCAATAATTGACACTTGTCTTATTTAAACTGTAACTTAAAAACACTTAAAATTGCTTCAATTCTTGTGCAGAGTGTTGTTTTTTTTGTTGTTTTTTTTTTTTTTTTTCTTGTTCCACATTTGTCTTTTCATCCAGAGTGTGATGTGAATCATGCACTTCTTGGAAAGGCCTTGCTTGTTGCAGGAATAGCTTGCTTAGTATTTGCCACACCTTGGCCATAAAGCCCTGGAGTGAAGTTCAGCAGTCATTTGTATCAGGTATTGCCTGATATTTCTTTAGATCTGTAACAGCTGGCAGTTAGATTTTTCAKATTTTTCACACCTCGAAGAGCCAGAATGGAAAAAATAGGGCTAATTTCACAACTTTCAGGACTTTCAAAATGTAATACCTTATTACACTATCATGTGGAATATATGGGAGTAGACAGCTAAGGCAAAAAGAGTGTTTCAGGGATAGCAATAGTGGTTCCTGTAGGTGCAAAATAGAGACTTTGTTTCCTGCAATATCTGAAATGATTTTGAAGTGTGTGACTAATAATTTAAGGAATTCCAGTCTTGCCGACCTTATGGCTAACGTGGAAGTGAAGAGTCCTGTCCCTGGGTTGCTACAGATTTACCTGCTCATGGAGATTTTCCGTTATTGTGTATATGAAGGAAAGCAAGAGCATATACCCTGCATGAACCAGACAGTGAGGTATATAGTAAAATTTTTGAAATAGAAGGTGACAGATTTTTTCCAAAGAGAATAAAATATAGAGCTAGAATTGGAATTGAATAGCTCTGGAAATGAAAGGAAATGTAACCCTTTGATTGCACGATCTTTAATTGAGAGGTTCTGATGTTTGATGTTTTTGTGTTTGTTTTCTTTGCTTACTTTGTCCAGACAGCTCTTTTATAATACAATGGAAACCTCAGTTTAAAGGGTGGAATCCAATGTTGCCAAAATTTCCCTTGAAAATCTAAAGGATTTACTTGTTCTGGAGTTTTCTAATGAATGTCACAGCACTTCAACTACACTTCTACAATTCAATCCAGCAGTTTCCTGCTTGCCAAGACTGTAGTATTCTTTTCTGTGAGCTATGTGGAAAGATTTATTTTATACTTTTTTAAAGGAAGAACCATAACAAATGAAATTTAGACTTATTTCAAATTTCTCTTTTTCTTTGACAATGTCTTCATTTAAAGATTCATGGTTGAGAAGTTCTGTGGCCCAGAAAGATGAAAAGTGGCCTTATACAGCATCTCAGAGGAGGAATAAAAATATAAATTATACTATATAGTATTAATTTCAATATTATGATAATATTTTAGGTACAGTAAAGGTTCCATTTCACCATAAATGTGAAATAATTTAAGTTTTATATCATGCTGTCTGTCCTCAAACTCAGATGTATTTTAATGCCTGTTTTTTCACTTTCATACTTGTTGCATTGTACTGGATTAGTGCTCTTGCTATCAAATAACTTTTGCTTGAGAAAGTAGTGAGACAGGAGAAGCCGACATTGTATCCATAGCTCTTGTATTGGGGATTGCTGTTTTAAAAGCCTTTGAAAGCTTAAAAGGCAAACACACCTATCTGCCTTTCTGCCCTTTCTTCATAGCCCACATGTGCCCAGCCTAGGCAGATAGGGCCACTATAGACCAGAATACACCAAGACCAGAGTGGTAAGACAGAATGCAAAGGACATTACTTACTGTGTACAGTAAGGACACACTACAGACCAGGAAAAAATACAGAATGGGCTGCATTTGGTATCCGTTGTTTTCTAAAGATGTGGAAAGATGTGGTCATAGATTTGTGATTTGTTTGCTACGTCCTTTGCCCATTAATTTGGCCAGTGTTCTTATTGGGAGGTGCCAGTAGGAGACCCATATTCATCCTACACGGAATGGCACAGAAATGCCAGATCCCACCAAAGTGCAGGACATTATTTATTATTTCTGCTAGATCCAATTTTTCTATGTTATCCATAAAACCGCTCTACCTCTCCCCAATATGTTTTCTCTTTTAGGTGTAACTCTGCTTTAATACCCTCCTACAAATTGCTACTTCTTTAAAAAGTAACATCTCTTGCTTTCTTCTTCAGTGGTGATAGACTGTGTACCATAACCTACACAGCAATTTTGTGGCAGACCTCATTAACCAATAATTTGGTATAAAATACTTAACTGCAATAATATATGCAATTTTGGTTGGAGGGGGGAGTCCGTATTCATGGGATTCTTTTAATTGAAATTAATAGATTCTGGCTTATTATAAGAAAAAGAGAGACTGCTTAAAGGTTCATAGATTTCTCATTACAGTAAATTTCATTTGACTTAATTTCTTTTACATTAATTACCAAACTTGGATTTCAGAGGGTAGTGTGTACATGCTGCCAAAGTAGTTGATAGGAAACCGATGTTTGTTTGTGACAGAAGAATGCCATGAGCCATATTCAACCTTTGATATGCATTCGAATTATTTGTTGGCATCTGTTAGATGGACTTATGTGCACAAGCTGGCTTCCATGTATTGCTGTTTTTGTCTTCCATTCTTCATCAATTTTAGCTCTAAGAAAAACTACAGTAATAACATTAAACCTTTTAACCTGTAGAAGCTGTAAGAATTGATTATCCCCAAGAAGATGTAAATTATTACTGAAAACCATTCTGAGGCATTAAATTTTTATGCTTGAACCACTTGACTGCGTATTGTGTATATGCTGCAGAAAACACGTAGCATAAGCTATGTGTTTTATTGGTGTGTCACCCCATTCAAGGGAAATGGAAACTAACAGTGTCTGWCACCTGCCTTGCTGTCTTTTGTGTAGAGTGTGTTAATGATTCTGGAAGTGCCCAAAATACCTCTGGGTGCCCGCCAGTAAGTCATTAGGGGGCAAACATGAATACAGTAGCATGCAGTGAATATGCCTCTGGAAGCAGAGCATTATAGTTAGTGCTGTGACTAAGGTCATCAGTTTAAATTAATTTGGTGGGGTTTATTCTTTTTTTCCATTTAAATGCATGTTTTTGTTACTTTTATTATTATTTCTGCATTTTCTCTCTCCCGCCTTTTTTGTTTTACATATTGCTTTCATTTGTTTATAGAAGAAAAGACAGCAGATCCAGAGAATGGGGATGCAGGTAGGGTGGCTTATTCAAAATACCTTCATATTATTTCCCGTAAGTTTTTTGACRTACTGTGTCCAAGCAGAATGTGTATCATACAGATGGATCACACTATTGATGTATTCTGATGATTGCTGTAGTTAACAGAAACTAAGAAATACATTTTGAGCTTTTCCAAGTGTATTCCATTTGCTCATTTAAGGGAGTCAAATTAGGGGGAGAAATGGGAGGAAGCAGGCAAATGACAGCTGGATAAGGCTGTCCTGAGCCCTRCAACCTCTGTGTTGTCCTCCTGACTCCATGCACAGTGTGCATGCATGGAATCCCCATCCTTTCCTCCTCTCTGACACAGGTTCCAAACTCCAAAATCTCAGCTCTTTCTGAAGTCTCCTGATCACAACTGTGATCTTTGTCTGAGCTCCAGAATCTTTTCTCTGTCTTATCCCTATCCCTTCAATGGGAACTAACCTAATATTAAGAGGAAGCCCACTCAACTTCCATAACCCTGGTTTTTGATTTCCATTTTTACCATGTGCCTCAGAAGCCCCACTGTACAGTAGCTTAATGTAAGTGACCCAAATCCCCTTCCTCAAACATGCCCTGCATATATAGCAGCTATAACAGTTCAATAATTCCCACTGCAGAAGACAATGACTGAAAGAATAAAAGAACACAGAAGGACACAACTCTCAGCTGACTGGCTGTCTTTTTTAATTATTATTATGGGGAGGTCTTTCTGGGGCTAAGGTGGCTGATGAGAATATTTCATTGTCCCACTTGTCTCTAGATGTAGACCATGGACCATCAACTGCAGCAGATATTGCCCAAGAGAATAACCAAAACAGCCAGTAACAGGCTTCACTCCAGAACTAGCATTTAATGATTACTTACCTCCTTAAGAAAATGTGACTCCACGAACAACCAAAGTCAGATTAAATTAGATTTTAACTACATTGCTGATTACAGCCCCTTCAAATTGATAGCAGAAAACATTTAATTTTCACCAACAATGAAAGCTTTAATGCTGAAGTAGCAGAATCTTATGTCAAGGTAAAACATGAAAATAAGGGGTTGCATTTGAGGCTGGGGCAGTGATTCTAGTGCTTGCTGAGAGCCCTTGATGCCAGGACAGGTTACAGGGCTGCCACATACTCTGCTCCTGGCCCCTGTTCCAGCATTTCTGCACATCAGTCACGCTGCCTTCCCTCAGCATGCTCTCTTTTAAGGCTCTTATGGATGGTTAGCATTGAATCAGCAGCTGGCTCTTCCTTAGCCAGGAATTTCCCTGTGTGGAAGAAAACCCCACAGAGCTAACTTTCAGACCACGTTTCATTTTTACAGTGGAGAGGCATTTAAAATGAGCAGGACTTGAGGTACATCTACAGTGCAATGTTCCCAGTCTTTTCCACCACTGTGGTAGATTGGCAGCATGAGGCTTTGCTCTCCCATCAGTCTCTCTTGGTATTTTTTATTCCTATGCCTGAAGTTTGCGTGAGTTTTTTTCCTTTTTTTGTTGGAGTAAATGCCATTATCTACAAGACAAATTCTGCAAAGAAGTCAAAAATAGAACAAAAAAAGTTCAAAATAGAAGTGGGTGACCTCACGCACTTCTGCCTGGCCAAAATTCATTTGCATGCAATTTGAAATATGATGGCAATACATTAAAACATGTTAGAACTAGCTTTATAACTCAGGTCTCTGAAGCCCTGAAAATGAATCGTGTTGGGACCCAGCTGAGCAACCRACAGCTCAGTCAGCCGTGTACTACCAGTGGCAAACCTTATGCTCCTCCATTTTTACTACTGTTCATACCTAATAGATTCAAGTTTCTTTTGCTTTATCTAGACATAATCCATATTATAGTAGAGTCCTTAGTGTAGCACTGATGTGAGGCTGATGTTCTTCACTTGACTGCTGAAACCATGTAGGAGATGAAGCTTCCTAAAGCACTCAAGAATTGCTGAAACCTCTAGAAGTGCTTTGGGCTCCTGCTTTAATGCACACGTGTAGGTATCAGCTAAGTGTAGATCTGCTGGTGGAACAGGAGAAGGTTTTAGCCTGTGCTGGCACTGTTTGGTGCAAGTGCTCTGGACAAAGAGGGAAGTGGCCGTGTCACTCTCCCAAGGTGTCCTGCTGCCACCCCCAGGTCCCGTCTGGGTCTGGCTTTATTTGCAGCTGGGATGAACCTGCGGCAGTCAGGAACCCTGCACAGTCTTTCTGCACAGCAGCTCCGTGCACGGCAGAACTGCAGCTGATCTTCAGCACCGTGAACTTTGCATTGCCCTTGCATTGACTCCCTCATTTTGCATATAATTGAATTAATTTGTTTGTTAATGGCAGTTTCAAAAGAATATAGCAAGTTATATTTTCTTTTAATAAGCTTTTATGGGAATTGAGTAAATTTGTATTAAGTTTTGCAATCTACATTGCTTTTCTCCTGAGATTAAAATGAGCTGCCAGTTTTGCCTTTTAAAATTTGTCTTTTCAGGGACTTAGCTATCTCACATTTTCTTCTTGTCCCTAATGGTAAAATGTAGCAAAATGGATATGAACCCCTTTTGCATTTCTAGCTGCAATTAATTTATTTTGGCAAGCATAWATACAAAGTTTTGTGTATTATTAACTGGAGAGGGCTTAAGGGCAAAGAGAAGAACTGGAAAAATGAAATTGAGAGATGTCACAGAATCCATAAATTGCATTGACCTTAGTGAACTTCTCTGCAATAAACAGAAAGTACTCCAGAATATGACTATGCAAATCACAGACCTATAAACTGAACTAAACCTGAATAATTACATGAATAAATAATTGTAGCAAAAATGTGTACCATGATGTTAGGCTGATGTTCTTGTTTATTCAAGCATTTCAGAAGTGTAATTCACTGATAGTGTGTCATATTATATATTGTATATCATCCATTAGATATCATATACCATATAAATCATACTCCACCATGTATAACTGGTCGTTGGTCAGGAATAGGCCACTTTTACTATGAAGGACTCACATTAGGGGCCTGTCTGTTATACTCCCTTCTCAGCTGCATATTTAGGAGTGCTTTGTAAAGCACGTGGAACTGGATTTGTGGAATAGCAGTGACTGTTTTCATGAGTAATTGTGAAATTTCTGATGCCTGATCCAGAGGTGTTATTTCATCTCTTCTTGTCACTTATTGAGGTTTTCACGGCAGAACAACTGTGAAAAAAAGAATATACATGATGATTTAATCAGAGAAACTTCCCAAGAAAAAATTACAAAACTTCCAAAATTATGCCTATCATTTTTTCCTGTTTGCTGAAAACCAACTCTAGATCTAGTTTAACAAACTAAAGATCATTAAGTGTATTTGTAAAATGTTCTGATTTCATCAAAGTATGATTTCTTTCTTTAAACAGAAGTTATTTTACCTCACTGCTGACACCAATGTGTTATTTCTGCCATTAAATAAGGAAAAATACCATTTTCATATTTAAAATTTTCTGGATTGAACAGAGAAAATATATTTATAAATTCATTCATAAGACTTTTGAAACTAGGTCATTGAAAACATTTGCAGCTTAATGACAATTGGCAAATACTGCTTTTAGAGAAAAAAATTGTTAGAAAGCACTAGGTGTATTATATTTTAGGAGTTTTTAACTGCTAATGTCATTGTCTTCTGCTTCTTCATTGTCTCTCTCCCTGTAAAAACACAATTTCATTTATTCATTGTTAGTGATTTACTTCTCTGTGAAAGGTTTCAACCAAGTGTTTCCATTCATGTTGTTTATATGGAGCAAAGATGGAGAGTTTTAATAGGAAAATAAGAAACCAGAAGGGTTCACACAGCAGTATRGCCCATGCCCTCATCTCCTCACCCTTTCCTTCCCAAATGTTACATGATTTGGTGGCCCTTATTGCAGTGCAGTAGTATCCTACTGCAGATACAAAGGGCAGATACAAAGGGCAGAGGCTCTGCAGAGACCCTGTACAAAGCCCCATCTTGCAGTTTCCCACTTAGAACTGAGATTTGGAGTTTACATCAGGCTTATCCTGAAGAATAATTTTACCATCACAGTTGCATAAATAGAAATCCAGATTTTCCAACATGAATATACAGACACTTATATTCTGAAAATATAATCCCAGAGAACCTTCTTAAAAACGTGTTGGATAAATGTCAGTCGAAACAAATGCTTTTTAGCATCCAGTGAGTAATGAATTACTCTGATTTTTATCACATTAAGTGGAAGAGAATCATGCTGCACTGGTATATAATAGATACCTCTTTTTTTGCAAGACTTTATTTTTAATTCTGGGCTCTTATCTTCCCCTCATCTTGTTATCTTCCTCTCATTTTTCTTTTTCTGTTTCTCACACTTTCATCTCTGCCTTGGAACTTTCATCCTCACCATTTCAGAAAGTAAATCACGGTGTTACAGTAGCAGTTGTCTTGAAAACCACTGATGCCTGAGTAGCATCCACCTCTAACTAAGCAGAGGCTAAGCATGTACTTGCTCCAAGAACTGAAGCCTGAAATTGTCCTTGAAGCTGCGTGTCGCACAGAATGTAGTTCAGTTCTACCACTGGGTGGCTCTTTAACATTCCTTTACACTTTTTAAAAATTATTTTATACATATTAAGTAGTGGTAGATGAAAATTATACCGACCTGGGGCCCTTAGCTGGTTAGTAATTTGATACAAAATGCTGGTGTTCTATTRTAAAAAGACCAAACCAGGACCTCCATCCAAAATAAACAGGTTGTCTTTGCATTCTCTATTTTTCTAATGTATGACTCAGTTTCTCTTGAATACTTTTGTAATAGTAAAATGCTGGTTTGTGAAAACATTCCATTCCATTTACATTCAAAATGAAGTTCATTTGAATTTTGTAGATAATACAGCTCTCATTCAGATGCTGTTGAAATACTAACTCATCTGCAGTTCTCCTCTTCTTATGACTTTTTAATTTGTTTTTCCAAAATATTGTAATTCAGAAATTGCATAATTAAAATTACACAATAATTTAAGCAAATGAGATTTCAACTTTTTTATTTTCTGTTAGAAATTCCATAAGCATAACTTCAGACTTGGATTTGAAGGCTGCTTGTGTACTTACTTTGTTTCTTTCTTTTTCTTTTTACTTAACAGGCGCAATGGATGTAGAAGAGAGGAATCGCCAAATGAAAATGAGCAAGTACAAACAGGTAGCAGGATCAGATTCCAGACTGGAGCAAGATTATCATTCTAAGGCAAGGGAGTTTTGTTTTAAAAAGCCACAAAATATGCTAAACTGAAATGAGCCATGTCTTATAAGAAATCAGTATATGAGCAAAAGCTTTTTTTTTTTTTTTTTTTCCAGTGGAAACTTCTTATGTGTCTATAATTAAGTAATTGGAGAAATGCAGTAGAAGTCATAAAGCAGAATGTTCTTGGTTATTAACAGTTAAGAAGTACAAGTTAAGTCATCATATAAAACTGGCAGTGTAATTACACACTGGAATGTGCAATAGGGCCAAGAATGAGAAGACCAAAGAGAAGGAAAAAAGAGATTTATTAAATAATAAGTGCAGTGAGAGCCRCTGAAACCTCCTCCTGGTTTTTGTATAGTGAAACAGAGTTATCTTAATCTATTAAAAATTGGAAGACATGATGTTATCTAGTTAAATAATGGCAGTTTAGCTCTTCTGCATCAACACAAACTTCCTCAGCAGCTGTGGCAGTTTGCCCCAAATCAAAATGATTTTGCAGTAGCACAGTCCYAAATATGTTATCCAAAATTTCCTGCTATCTGGAGCAGGGTCATGTCATATACACTGTGTTAATTAAAACAGTCCAGATGATAGCCTCAATTTAAACTTCTATTACATAAAAATAATTTAGTATCCTCTAAAAGACTTTTTTAATTGGGGTCAGATGGTAAGTGGGAAACACAAGACTTCTGACCTATAATAGCTGTCTGAGGAAGAAAAGTCTGGTTTAAACTTGTTTCCAGGAGGTGGTTCCTGTTCTTCAAGGACTGGCAAAGTTATTATGAACTGAGGTATTTAACATTTGAAGGCAAAGAAATCATTACATTTATTAAGCATTATTAGTTTTATAGATAATTAATTTAGTACACTGATTTCTAGTGATATGATTTCTTCTGCAAATGTACCATTGTGAGAAAGTAGASACTTTGGGGGAAGCCCATGCTAGACAAAGTGGAAAAGGCTATTAATGAAATGATTGGAAAAAAACAGAAATACTGTGAAAGTGCCTTAAAAATTTTTAACTGTCTAGGTATGCTGTGTGATTATTGGAGCATTTTCTCTGAATAATTTTTACTATAGAGCATAAAGGAATTTTTATTAAGATGTAGAAGGGACTTGGGAGAGTGATATATTTACATATTTGTTTTATGTTGACGTATATGGCAAAATTATTTTCACGTGTATCTATATTCAGTATATCAGTCCATTTTGAAAGGTGTTACCATTTTTATTAGAGAGCTGGGCTTAGTACTGTGGGGAAACGTTCCTGTAAGTGCTATAAMTGTATGTATCATAAAAATATAACTTTATGTACTGCATCTCTAAGYTATTCAGAGTTATTAAGGGTTATTCAGCTAATTTTCATGTTCCCTCAATTTTTGACTTAATATTAGATACAGGACTTTGAAGTAACATGAATAACTGATTCCTTGTTCCCCCAYAGGAGTAGAATAGAGTCACCCAAGGAAACATTTCCTGTGCTCGTTTTCCCCATTTCACCCACACTGTATTGTTGGGCCTCACTATACATTTTTTATCTTTTTTTAAAATTTAAATTTTACCTTCAATATTATTGGAATGTGGAATTATTCCAATATAATTGCAATTAAAGAGAAAATTATAAATCATATTCATCATTTAATGAAAATGGTAATGTAGTTATTGCATGCCTAACACAAGCTGTCGACAGAAATTGACAGTTAATTTACTTATGGTAAATTAACATACTGATGGTGTAGCTTCAGTATTTGGAAAGGAATTATTATTCCATCTATGGACTCTGGGAAGCAGACTCTGACTATTCAGCAGGAGGTGCAGGCAGTGATTTGTATTTGCATTCCAGAAAGTCTGTAGTTTTCAAGCATGTGAGAACCGTCGCTCTCGGAAGCCGTGTAAGAGTTCTGTCCTCATTGTTTTACTATCTCTGTTTTGCTGCTCCTAATTAGGCACTAATATTATCTAGTGACAGAAGAGGGCTGAGTACAATTGGTCTACCTGCTTTCTACATATTTTTTTCTGGAGTCGTGAACTGAAACACACATGTTGAATGCTAATGATCTACATACGTAACAGTGACCTCGATTTTCTAAATCTATCAGCTGGCRCAAGCAGGCAGTCAAGTGAATCATGCCTGAGAACAATGTCATTAAGAGCTAAATGAGATTCAAGGAAAGTTAGCACATGGAATTGTCTCTTGTATTTCCATTTTACTTCTTTCTTTAAATGGAAATCAGCAGCAAATATATTTTGCTCATAATTCCTTTGAATTGAAATGAATATCTTTCCTTCTGAGAAAGCAAAAGCGATAACAGTACAAGTAGGACAGTATTAAAATAACCATCCATGATTGTATCAGTCTCATTTTGTTCTGCTTCTGGAAGTCAGTAACTTCAGAGACAGATACACGCTTCTATGATACATATTTATGTATCAGTAAACTTGTGGGGAAAATTTTCTTCCTAATAACTGTACTCTGAGAAGCTGCTGAAATACAAAATTGTCATCCCTTTATTTTTTTTTCATGATTACGGACTGGATTGTTATCATTTATATATGTGTTTTACTTCCATACCTGAGTTTGGCAGGCTATATATTGTAAAATATTTCTTTCTCTAAGCACAAAAGTTTCTTTAGTATGCTTTCAGAACAGACATAAGGACCACAAGCATTATATTTACGTTCAGTGTAAGTATGTTTACGACTAAAGAGACATGAGAAAAAAATAGCAAAGCCATAAAGGATTAATTAGAAGTATTGCTGATATTRCAACAATGATTTCTTTCTGAATATTGAGTGCTAGTAGCATTGTACTGGAATAGACACTAGCATCTGTCAGTAAAGTCAGTTAGTAGAAGCTAACATGCAAGAAAACCTGAGATCACATTGCCATCAGAGTGAAAATATTAGGGCAAGATGCCCTGTGAAAAGAGAAGGACCACGGTGAGAGCCCAGGGAAGGGAGAGCAGGGTGCTGGCTGCAGCTGGGTCCTGCTTATTTGAGTCCAGTTCACACACTGCTCTCACCACCTCCCTTCTGCCTCAGTTCTCACTCACTGCTGCTGCCATGGGCTCTCCTGGGGGTGAAATGGATAGCGTTGGGTGACTGACCCCTTCCTGTAGCCATTCCCACTGAGCCCCCTTGTGCATTTTCAGGCATCCCTAGTATAGACACCACTGAAATGCCCATGGAACATATAGACACTGAAAAGGTGCAGTTCCAAAGACTGGAACACTTGGATTCAGCAATGGTTCGAGTACCTCATTGAAGACTATCTGTATGAAGGAATATGCAAAAGGCAAGAGCTGTAGTGCTAGAAGTGGAAGAGGTAGAGTAAGATACAGAAGAGGCAGGTCCTTAACTATTGGTCTTGTCTYACCCTGCCATTTCATCCAGGTGTTCATTGGAGCCTGCAGTAAGCAGATGTGTCATTGGTACAGTTCTTGTGCTCTTCAACCTATGGTGTGATAGAAACAGTTAATTTCAGGGTGTTTTGGGGATGTGTTTGCCTCCTCCTCAAAAAGCAAAACAGATGTGCACTTCAGACAACAATCCATAGAGCTGCAGAGATTGCTACAGAAACAGTTGGCACTTTGGTACTTCTGGAAATCCTTGGAAAGGGGAGGATTGAACGAAAACCCAAGCAAATAAGATATTGAACTGATAGCAGTACTATCTAAAAGGTGTTTATTTATGTTACTTTGAATTGGCAATTTTCTGTGAAAATGCAAGCTTAGATCTCAGGATTTTGAAGAAAGATCATGATCTGCCTGGTAATACTTTGGCAGGTTGTAGCAGGTGTGAGTATGCCTCAGTGATCCTCAAATTATTTCTTACAACTTCAATTGTTAAGAATGCAATTAGAAATATTAAAAATTAACAAAGAAGCTAGCATTCATACTTTTAATCAAGTATTTTATTTTATTTTGTTTTTTGTCATGAAAAGTTTGTGAAGTGCTCATGTTGAAATTTTACTTCCTCTAGATATAAGTCTGTATATTGAAATAGCTCAAAAGCTCAAAGCTTAAAAGCTTTGAAATGAAATAAAATATTTTCAGAATTCTAGATTTGGACTCTAAAATGCCTGACAATGAAGAAGACCTTTCTTTATTGCTCCTGTGTTTGCTCATGGGTGAAATGTAGTTTAGTGACCCTGAATATAGATATAGACTATATGATTTATATTTCTATTTATGTTATTTTACATTTTTATGTGATTTTAGTGTTGTTAACCTTTTTCCTCCTCACTTAATTCAAGTTCTCTTTAAATTTCTTTCAGTTTTGATGATCTTTTAGTATTTTCTTGAGTCTTGAGTATGTAACCAGGTCTCTGATAGAGATTTAAGAGTGTGCTTGAATGTTATACTCTGGTAATACAAGTACTGCATTCAGGTATCGTGATAATGGCCAAAATATAGACATAACAGGCTGCCAAGAGAGATTGTGGAGTCTCCTTTTCTGGAGATCTTCCAAACCCACCTGGATGCCACCCTGTGCCACATGCTCTAGGTGTGCCTGTGTGTTCAGCAGGGTTGGACTAGGTGATCTCTAGAGGGCCCTTCCAACCTTAAGGATTCTCTGATTCTATGATCTGAAAGCAGATTGTTCTATTGGATGTCTTGACTTGTGTGCATGTGCTTTGTGTAATTTTTCAGCCATTTTTTTAGTTTGCATGTAAGCCTATGCGGCTAATATGAAGAAACCAGAGTTTTAAAATGTTATGAAAATTTACCTTATCTGATGAATCCCAAAGAGGAAAAAAATGATTTCTGAATGTACAAAGTAAAATCAGTGGCCTGATTTCACTCTGAAAATCCATTATAATCAATTGGAAAAATAAAATTGCAGAAAATTGCAGAAACAGGATTACAGAACAGAAAATTTAGGGAGTGCAAGAAACAAATTTGACAGGAAGGAAACACATGCTTAGTATCTAGATACTGAAGTGGGACATTCAGAAACAGAAAACACAGGAAGKTAAATGAATTTCTCCAGTAGTGGGG